AGGTTGCTGTGAGCTGTAATGCCACGGCACTCTGCCCAGGGGGACAGCTTGAGGCTCTGTCTCAAAAAAAAAAAAAAAAAAAAAAAAAAAGAATACAGGCATAGGAGCCACATTTCTTAAACCAAGTGAAGCCATCTATGACAAACCCACAGCTAATATCATACTGAATGGAGTAAAACTGAAAGCTTTTCCTCTTAGGACAGGAACCAGACAAGTATGTTCACTATCACCACTAGTATTCAACATAGTGCTGTAATTTTTAGCCAGTGTAATCAGGCAAGAGAAGGATATCAAGGGCATCCAAATGGGGGCAGAGTAGGTCAAAGTCTCACTCTTTGCTGATAAGATCTTATACTTAGAAAACCCTGACACTCAACCACAGAAAACTCATAAGACTCTTGGAAGTGATCAAGAAATACAGTAATGTCTCGGGATATAAAATCAATGTCCACCAATCAGTAGCTTTTGTATACACCAATCATAGCCAAATCAAGAAGCTAATCAAAGACACAATTTCTTTCACAGTAGCTTCAAAGAAAATGAAATACCTAGGAATATACCTAACAGAAGAGGTGAAGGATCTCTACAAAGAGAATTATGAAACCCTAAGAAAAGAAATAGCAGAAGGCATTAAAAATGGAAGAATATATCATGTTCTTGTCTGGGAATAATCAATATTGTTAAAATGTCTATACTTCTCAAAGCACTCTATAGATTCAATGCAATCCCCATTAAAATGACAACATCATATTTTGAAGATCTCAAAAAAATAGTTCTTCGTCTTGTATGAAACAAGAAAAAAAACCTGTATATTCAAGGCATTTTTTTTTAGTTGTTGTTGTTGTGTTAAGACATTTATATTCTACATTTAGTAAGATTTACATGTACCCTTATAGGATAAATCATAGGCGTGATCCCACCAATCACCCTCCCTCCACTCAGCCTCTCCCCTCCCCTCCCTGCCCTTTCCCCTTTCCCAGTATTCTTGGGCTAATTTGGTTATAGTTTTCCTACAATAGCTATAGATTAGTTTCATAATAGGGTTGAGTTACTTGGATATCCAAGGCAATTTTTAGCAATAAAAACAAAGCCAGACATCATTCTACCAGACTTCAGGTTATATTACAATCCATAGTGATCAAAACAGCATGGTACTGGCACAAAAATAGAGACATCTGACCTTTGATAACACAAAGAAAAGCATACACTGGGGAAAAGAATCTCTACTAATCATTGGTGCTGGGAGAACTAGATAACAACATGTAAAAGATTGAAATTGGATTCACACCTTTTACCACTTACAAAAATTGACTCAAGATGGATAAAAGATTTAAATCTAAGACATGACATGATAAAATCTTAGAAGAAAGTATAGGAAGAACTTGAGGATATTGGCTTGGGGCAAGATTTTATAAAGACTTCAGTGGCAATCACAACAAGAACAAAAATAAACAAATGAAGGTGGCATCTATGGCTCAAGGAGTAGGGCACTGGCCCCATATGCCAGAGGTGGTGGGTTCAAACTTGGCTCTGGCCAAAAAATGCAAAATAAATAAACAAACAAACAAATGAAACCTTATTAAACTGAAAACCTTTCACACAGCTAAAGACACAACAATTAAAGCCAATAGACAACCTTCAGGATGGAAAAGACATGCATGTTATGAGTCTGACAAAGCCTTAATAACTAGGATCTATAGAGAATGCAAATTAATCAACAAAAAAGAGCAAACAATCCCGTCTATCACTGGGTAAGAGACATGAACAAACCTGCTTGAAGGAAGATAGATGTATGGATAATAAGCCCATGAGAAAATGCTCATTGTTCCTCATCATCAGAGAAATGCATATCAAAACAACCCTGAGAAGTCATCTAACCCCAGTGAGAATGGCCCACATTACAAAGTCCCAGAGTAGCAGATGCTAGTGCAGGTGTGAAGACAGGAACAGTTTTACACTGGTGGTACAACTGAGAACTAATATAGCCTCGTTGGAAAGAAATGTGGAGAATCCTCATAGAACTCAAATTAGACCTCCCATTTGACCCTGCAATCCCACTACTAGGCATCTACCCAGAAGTCAAAAATCATTTTATCATAAAGACATTTGCACTAGACTGTTTATTGCAGCTCAATTTACAATCGCCAAAATGTGGAAACAATCTAAATGTCCATCAACTCAGGAATGGATTAACAAGCTGTGGTGTATGTGTACCATGAAGTACTACTCAGCCATAAGAAAAGATGGTGCCTTTTTGTCTTTTTTATTAACCTGGATGGAGTTAAAACATATTCTTCTTAGTAAAGCATCAGAAGAGTTAAAATGCAGTGCTCGCTTCGGCAGCACATATACTAAAATTGGAACGATACAGAGAAGATTAGCATGGCCCCTGCGCAAGGATGACACGCAAATTCGTGAAGCGTTCCATATTTTCAAACTCACTTGAAAGGAAAAATAAAAACCACAAAGGTGTATGGAGCATAAAAAAAAAAAAAAAAAAAAAAAAGAGTTAAAATGCAGATATCCAACGTACTCAATTTTATTATGAAGCCAGTAGATGATCTACTATGCTCCCACATAGCAGAAAAACTTAATTCAATACAAGTTGCGGGGAGAGGGGAACAAAAGAGGGGGGAGAGCGGAGGGGGCAGATTGGTGTGCTCTCACTTAATGGGCACAATGTAGGGGTGTATGGCACACTTTTTGGGTGTGGGACATAATTCAAGAGGGATTTGACCAAACAAATAATATTGTGACCTGGTTGTACCCTCACATTATCCTGAAATTTAAAAAAAAGAGTCTAACATATATAATGCATGTATATTTTATTACTGTTTTATTAATCATCTCAAATAACCAGCTTATGGTTTTATTAATTTTCTGTATTGTGTCTTTTTATTAAATTAATTTGTAGATTTATTTTCATTATTTCCTTCCTTCTCTTACCTCTATATAATTTGACCTGTTTTACATGCTTCGGTTTAACATCTAGATGATCTACCTCTTTATGATTTCATAAAAAATAAATAAATAATAAAATAAAACAAAACCTAGAATCATTGCTCACTTATGAAATATTTTTTTAACTTACACTAAAATGTCTTTGACCTATGGATTATTCACAGGTCTATTTTCAAATCTTTGGAAATTTAAAAAATATATTACTGTCATTAATTTCCAATCTTACTTTATTGTGGTAGAGATTATAAAATGGTGGACATATAAATCTTAACCTCAAAAGCAGTGATGCTTAACTTTTTCTTTCAGAGTGCAGGCTCATAAATCTCTTTGAGAACAGTATGGAATTTAAAGCTTTTCTCTCCAGAAAAATATGTTCATGTACACACATTTACACATTCTGCATACCGTTTCAGGCTTTCTCGAATCTTATGAATAAGACCAAGATGGGAGTTCTTGGCAACCTCAGACCATTCTTCTAGGACAGTGGTTCTTAACCTTCCTAATGCCACGGCCCTTTAATACAGTTTCTGTGGGTTGCGACCCACAGTTTGAGCTGTTCTAGGAGGTGATTTTATTTAAAGAATCTCTTTAAATTGAGATATAATTTAAATGCTATGTAATGCAGAGATGATTATCAGTTCAATGAGTTGTGACAAATGTATATGCTCATAACCCACCCCCTTAAGATACAATAAAACATTTCCATCACCCCACAAAGTTCCCCCATGTTCTTTCTTAGTAAACTTCCATGTTCATAGAGGCAGAGACATTTGAAGGTAATATTTAATTCACATGCATAGTGTATGCATTACAGAGACAACATCCCTAGGAAGTGGTTATGGGCACCCCAAAAGAGTGTCCTCAGGTAATGATGTGCTGTACTCATAAGCCCTTCAGCCCTTTCTAGTTAGTTGGCTTCAGCCTCTCAGAAAATAGAAATGTCTTCAGGAAGCAACTATGTCCAACTGACCCTCAGAAAAAACCTAGGTAGTTGGAATTATCTTGCAATCTGAGCTTTTACCTGGTCGGCTTCTGAATCCGAGGGAACCACCAGCACCACATCACCCCTTAGTAGGTTAAGTTCATCAGAATTTGCTGCTTCAAAATCATGCAGTGTTTCTACCTGCAAAAGATTTTATGAGAATAGATTAATTTTAAAAAGAAAAGAGGACACAAAATCATAGTTTCCCAGCTAGATTCTAAGCAGATTCTTTTTCAAGCATCCTCCAAGCCACATAAAAAGATGAAGATATATATCAAATTCCAAGAAGAACAAGGCCAATAAAGGTGAGAAAAAAAATCCTATTCTCGGATATGAGACCATTTGCATGTATATATGTAATGCAGTGTCCTCTGCAATAGCTGAAAGTGTTATATTAATTAATTTTAATCCATCAAAATTGTGTTAGAAATTTGCATTTTATCATCCTGATGCTTTACTATTTGTTGTTGAACTTGAACTAAAAATGTCTAGCTAAAAGTTCCTCTGACTCCATCTTCTGCCAAGTAAGGTACTAATTAGGAAAAAAAAACCTTGCATGTTATATAAGATTTATTACATTACTTAATTAATCCCTGTGATCAATTTCTCTGTAAATAAACTTTCTCCCTTTCCCACCCTACCCTTTATACCATGGCAGCTGGTTTCCTTATTTTACCCTTTAAAATTTTTTCTTTAAAATTTATTATAGAAAACATATTAAAAAGCAGAAGAAATAGTATACTGAACCCCAATGTCCCTACCATCCACTTGAATAGCTGTAGTCATGGCTGGCTTTATCTGCCCGGTATCTTTCTGCTCAACCCTACCTCCAAGATTAAACAATCTGCTTTTAACGTGTATTTTTCAGGTAAAATCATCAAATGTCAGAGGGAGATGATTATTTTATCACAAAATTAATTTCTCTGATAAGAAAACAGATGCCCAGAGAATGAGCTGAATGGTCACACTACGTACCATTAGGGAGGAGGCCAGGGATGGGCCCAGGAAGCCAGGGCCTCCTTGCCTGGCACACTGCTTCTGTAAAGGTCCCCACTGAACAATTTCTATGACCCCCGCATAATCCTCTCCCTTAATTACTTGATCTTTGAGTTGTCTCCCAGAAATGGTAGATTTTCAGGAGCTGAGATTCTGAAGGCCCAGGCACAGGCTTTCTGACAAGACTCACCATCCCCCACCGGCTGCCCCCAATGCACACAGACACCACGACCTGTCGCAAGATCCATGACCCCTCCTTTTAAAGCCCATGATCTCCATTAGTGGGGAGATGGATTTCAGGCAGCTTCTGCAGTTCTCTGGACAAGACATCTATTCTATTAATAATTCCTTTCTTCTAGGTGGCAGCTGTGCCTCAAAGGAGTAGGGCACCAGCCCCATATACCAGAGGTGGTGGGTTGAAAACCCGGCCCCAGCCAAAAACTGCAAAAAAAAGAAAAAAATTCCTTTCTTCCCTGGCAATCCTCATTGTCTTAATAGTTGGATCTTTGTACGAAGAGCAAGTGAACATTGTTCACATGTGTGATGAGCAAGTGAGTTTTCTCCAGATTCATACATTCAGAAATCTGTTCTATCCA